AGGGTGTGTATGAGTGGTGGAATGTGTGTGGTCCTCAGTGAATAGAGGAAGATAGGGTTGAGGGATAGAGGAAGCAGAGTTGAGGGTCTCTTAAGTGTTTGATAGGCAAAGGATTGCAGAAGTATGAGTAAAGAGTTAGCATTGCCAGTGAGCATATGGAATTGATAAAGAAACTAATGTGAAACCAACAGTGTGGACTTTAGGAATAAGCATCAATACGCTTATATTAGAGGGAGGGGTGCTTATAAGCCTGGGGTTAGATTTGAGATCTGATGATGTAAGCATCTCGGCTTTCTGAGCTGTCTGAAGAGACATGGGGTTTCAAGAAGATGAGTTGATGTTGGTTTGAATATGAGACTGAAATTTAGGAAGAATTGCAGCCACATGGCTTACCACGACTTTCAGATACCATGCATGATTAGATAGATTAGACAGGGTAGCCTAACCTGGGCTAAGAGAGAAAAAGACATCATTTTTGACAGTTATAATCGATGCCCTGTATAAATGAAAACACCACACTCTTAAAGAGGAATTTAAGCTTTCTGACTCATCTTGGCCGGAAGCAGCTAATCTTCATCATGCTAGCTGCGTTCTCCGAGGGATACTGTTAACTGTTCTCGTAATGAAGACTTAACTCAAATGTCAGTGTTTAAAAAAAAATGCACCAAAGGGAGAGGAGTATCTATTATCCTTTCATGTTTTCCGAGCTTATGTGCAGTTAAGTGTTCTTTAATGTACAGTGTGATCAGTTTGGACAAATGTTCACATGTGTACCTCAACATAGGGAGCACGTTCATCTCCCAGAAAGTTGTTATTATCATCATTTATTTATTATTTATTTATTTACATCCCAGATGTTACCCCCTTCCAGTCCCCCCTGGTGGAGTTCCTCCCCCCTCTCTCCTCCTCTTTGGCTCTCCCTGTATCTCCCCCTTTCCCCCTGTGCATCAAGTCTCTGCAGGATTAGGCACATCCTCTCCCACTGAAGCCAGACATAGCAGCCCCTCAAAAGTTATTATTATTATTTTTCCTTCCTGTAGTCCCTCCATTCCTTTCAGAAATCATTGTAGGTAATTAGCATAATCATTACCTTAAGCTCCATCACAACCAGTGAGAAGGAAATGCTGTGTGGCTCCCTGTCGCCACTGCCATTGTCACCGTAGCTTTGTCTATATTTACGTTTTATATGGATGATATTTTTTCTGCCATCATTCTATCTATCTATCTATCTATCTATCTATCTATCTATCTATCTATCATCTATCTATCTATCTATCTATCTATCTATCTATCTATAGATATATATGTATGCATAAGTTAACCTACACCGTGGCACACACCAGAAGCTTGTTCCATTATAGACTGAAGCAGTGTTCCTTATATAAATTTGACCCCATTTAAAATCCATTTTTGATTGGCATTCTTTCCAGTGTTTGGCTACCTGAATGAATCTGATATGAATGGTTTTCTTTCCTTTTTTAATGTTTTTTTTCCTTTTGTTCATGTGAGTTTTCATTGTACTTGAGTAAACAAGTAAGATGGGCTTTTTGGGTTACAGATGTATATTTAACTTTACAAGAAATTGTGCTTGAAACTGCTCGTAACATTATTTCTTTTGTTTGTTTGTTTTTTGTTTTGTTTTTTCAGTTTTTTTCTTTTTTTTATAATTCATTTTTCTCAAATTGTAATTCATTCACACAGGGGTTATAAACACAGAAAGGCAGGATGTGGGGAAGGGAATGACACTGGAGTGTGGGTGATCTGGGGAATACAGATATCATCAGAACCGGGTATCGGCTGGGTGAAGGTTCAGGGGACAATTCACTATGACTCTGCCTATGCCTTATCTAAGTTGGTATTATCTGCCCAGGCTACCTATTTACAGGGTCTATGACTACTCAGGCTGGTAAATTTCCACAAAAGCTGCCTGTTTACATTAGCTTATAGCCATCTGTTTCAATGTTTTTCCACTGAGACCCAAGACTTGGTGTTAGTATACATGTATGACAAACCTATTGCTGATTTTAGGCCTATGGCTGATTTTAGGCCTTCAGTGGGTAAGCAGGGCTGCCCCTGACATTTCCTCCCTTCTCTAAGTATAGAAGGGCTGTGGCAATTCTAAACTTGCGAAGGCGGGGATAGAGGCCTGACCTCCAGTATTTGAAGGGGACCTTGTTATGGCTCCCATCCCCCTGTCGTTGTCCAGTGAGGCATGAGGGCCATACCCGTCCCAATGTCTTTTTCCTGGAGAGGGGATACTTTTGACATCAACCCCTATGCAGTCAGGCTTGTCCCTCAGGGAACCCAGATAGATATTTTTATCTTTTTTTTTTATATTCCCTTGCAGTGCTTAGCCTCGCAGCCTAAGCAAGAATTCAGATCGCCTGACAGAGGGGGTTCTGGGTGGCACCTCTCTGCTTAGTCTAGGGGCAGAAGTCCCCCCTTTTAGGTTGGGTGGAGATGGGTTTTGGAAACATCCTGTATAAAGTAACAACCTCATCTTGAGTCTCGTGGTCCTCTATAGCTAACTTATGATAATGTATCTGAGTAGGTTTTGCTACCAAATTATTTATCTGTTGTATCACAGAGTTAGTCCGCCTATTTGAGGGTCAGGGACCAGCAGAAAAAAGCAAAAAGAACCCAAATAATGGTCCCAAGATGGGAGGAAATAGGGTTGACAACCTTGGAGAGGCTGCAAACCAATTCTTGTACCAGCCTTCATCTGTCTCTTTCTCTCTCTGATTTTTCTCAGGGCCTTCACTACCTGTTTCATGCTCTCTTTAACCCTCCTTGTCTTGTCTATGTAAAGGCAACCTTCTTCTTTAAGGGCTGTACACAGTCAAGAGCTGTACACAGCCTTTTCTATTGTAAATCAAGTCCAATAAGGATCTTTGCGATTTTAGGGGGTTTCTTCAGACAGCGAAACGAGGGATTTCTTCCGATTAGTGATGTCAATCTCTAGCTGTTTGATGTTCTTGTCAGTGGCCCTTCAAAGGTCTGAGTAGTATAAGTTCGGAGGCCAGCATCTGGATTAGAACTTCTAACAGCAGACGTCACGGGTGATTCATTTTTACCTGGGATGCTGCCTGAGTTAAAGCTCCTGGGAGTCCCTCTTTCTCTCGGTTTTCTGGGTTGGGTGCTGAGCTGCCGCCTGTGACCTGCTCTATGCTCAGGCCCAGACCAGAAGTCCCGTAACATTATTTCTTATAACATCTTATATTTATATCTAGGTCCAGTGGTCCCATATTCTTACCAGTAATGCTAATATTAGTTAGCCTTTGTAGTTATTCTGGTGGATGAGTGCTGGGCTGTCACTGTGATATTAGTCTGTACCGTCTTCACGTCTTGTGAATGGGACCATATGCTATTGGCTGTGGCACACCTTGAGACACCCATTCAAATTATCTCCCTAGCATTTTGCAAGAATTCTGGGTTGACATCAGGTATCAATATTATAAATATTTTTTTCCTAGATTGTAGGTTTCCATTTTATTTTCTCAACAATGTTCTTGGATGAGGGTTTGATTTGCATCTTGAATGTGCCCAATTTATCAATACGTTCTTTTATGTTGATTACTATGAGTTTTATATGATAAACTCTTGTATTCCTCAAGATTGCTAAATTTCCTCTTGTGTTTTTTTCCCTGTATTTTTTTTTTAATTTATGACTTTCATTTTTGTTATGAGATCTATGACCTTTTACCTTTTAGCCTTATATGACCTGGCTCCATCACCCCATCAACTGTCCCTTCTGGGAGTCTTTTCAGGGAGGACAGCTAAAAAGGCCCCTCTTTTCTAAAGGATTTGTCTTTCTTCAATTTCTACCCAGTTTTGGTCATGATTTCTCTCCAAAGGCATTTCTCATACATCATCTTGGACTTGATTTAGTATCTGTTCTCTAGATCGTTTTGATGGTTGCTTTAATATGTACTTAATATGTGAACTTGATAAGAGCAGCACAGAGTATGTTCTTTTACCTTTTCTTCCACTCTGAAACCTGACTCAGAGGTCCGCCTTTTGCATAGCAATGATCACTTAGCAAATGTTGACTTACATTGTTGGTTTTGGGAGTACCAATTCTGAGTCAGGATTTCAAACCTGTCATTTACAATTTACTTTCTATTTTTAGATTCTACCTGAAGAGGAGACCAAAGGAGATTATTTTATAGTAGATTTTAAAAGTAGAGTACTCTTTTTACTTTTAAAGTTCTTTTTAAGATGTTTATTTAAAATAGTTTCCATTTGTATGTTATTATTATTTTAATTCATTTTCACTTTATTATCGTGAGACCATTAACATAGTTAAAGTCACAGCCTAAAACTGTTGTTTTTTTTCAACCACAGTTAATACCCAAATATACTTTTTTGAACTAATTTTACGCCTAAAACAAACCTATTTTTCTGTGTAAAATAGAGCAGCAATATAAACTACATATATTTGCTAGGTTCTATGCCACACGTAGAACTGATAGATTTGCATACCTTTTGATATTTGATAGATTTTGGATGACTTTTATTTCCAAAGAGGACTCATTAATGCTTTTTTAGATCAGATTTTTTCAAGATCAAGTAACATAACAAACAAAGAATTTGTCCCATCAAATCTTATTTGTATTAATAGCATTTTTGGAGAAACATACTCAGCTTGTCTCTGTTATAACTTCACTTAATTTGTGAAAAAGAGACTTCAGCCTATTTAATAAATGAAGTCAGACATGTTTAGTCATCAGTACTACTGGCCACCAAGCACACTCTTCTTCCTTTAGACACTTGACTGCAAAGAGGCGCCATTCATTGTGTTTAGTGGGGATTTTGGCTTGTGATATAAAGCTTGGTGTTATTGCAGAGGTCATTGGTCACCATGTGGCTTATTGCACACATTATATTATTTGTCTCACACCTACAGCCATTGCGTCTGCTCGTCTTATAAAATTTTCTTTTTTGATCATTTGAAAGACAAAGGTTGTTCGATAAACTAAATAATTCTCTTTCTTCTTTAGAATCAAGTTTCTTACTGGGAAACGCCCAAATTGTGGACTGGCCTGTAGTTTATAGTAATGACGGTTTTTGTAAACTCTCTGGATATCATCGAGCTGACGTCATGCAGAAAAGCAGCACTTGCAGGTAAGTGGATCGAACAACTTTGAAATCTTTTCCAAATATGAACAAAATTCTGAGATTGATGAGAGATTTGTGTTTACTTATGACAGGGTGAAAATATGTGTGAATTCATTGTGAATAGCAAATATGAATTTTAGGAGCTGATTCTGGTAACTTTTGCAATGGAAGACTTTTGCTTATATATGAATTAATTTGCTCATTAAAATTTTTTGTCACCTACAATGAGCCAGCAGGCTGCACAGATTGTGAGTGATCAGAGGAGTAGTCAGTATTATGGAGCCACTGATGACATTGATATCTCTGGAGCAATTAAAATAGTCTCTAACAAAATAGAAAACATGACCCATCCAAGTGGAGCATAGTTCACAAGAATGAAAAAGAACAAAAACGAAGCCTATCAATTACACCGAGCCAATCACATGCCTTTATAGTGTTGATATAGTCAACCTAGCTGTTTATTTTGTTTTATGTAAAACAGAATTTGACATTATATTAGTTATGACAACTTTAAAAATAGCCATATCTGCTAGATTATGGAAAATTGTGATAAAAGGGGATCATAAAACAAGCAAGCAAACAAACAAAGAAACCTATGTATAAGGAACTACTTTAGAATCTAAAACTTTTCCACCATATTTCAGTAAGGACAGATGGGACCCCACCCCCATCCCCTGCCACCACTTTAGATTTTCTTTAAATTTCTCACTTAACTAAGTGTTGGAGTCAAATTATTTTGGAACTGTAAAGGATCTGGACTTTTCTTTCTGGTTCAAATTCTAAGAAAACATAGAGGGTGCTATGTTAAGGGACTTGGCCAGAGAAGCAGAGAGATTTCTGGGTTTTTTCCCAACCCACTTATACTGAGATACAGTGTGTGTGTGTGTGTGTGTGTGTGTGTGTGTGTGTGTGATCATGCATGCATGTGCTATATATGTGAATGATCTGCATCTTCATGAAGTCTAAATCTGACACTACACAGAAAAACTTAAATAACCTTTGCAAAACACATTCTAGCACTCTTAAACCAGTTGAACTGTAGTCAGCCAAAATGGGTATGCAGGGCCAGTAGTTGGCAAGTTAAGCCAGAAGCTTAGATGATTTTAATGTTTATCAAGGATTGAGAAACAATCTGTTCACACTTCCTCACCCCCC